CCGCCCGCCCGCCCGACCGACCGCCCGCCCGCTCACGTGACATAATACGTCCCCGTCTTCGACGGGCGTATAAAAAGATATTAATGGATGTTTTCAAGATATGCACAACAAAATCAAACGTATATTTATCAAATAAATATCATACATGCATCTCAAATAAGTATTAATAAGTATTAAATCAATTTAATAAGAATTATGGAGGCTAGTGGTGTACACCAGGCTTGTGACGTAAGTGTTGCAGGTTCGAGTTACGGCACGGCACCGTCATGTATCTTTGAGCAAGATACTTTACTCCGCTTGTTCCAGTCTACTCAGCTGTAAATGAGTATGTGGTTGGACAGTGCTAGAATTGTAGATTGCTAGCTACTCGTGCCGAAATGGCAGCAACGGCTGTATGCTCCCCAGGGAGTTGAGAAAGATATTGGCTGGTTGCAAAGGCCCTATAACCACGGATAATAATGAACTACGAACTAGGTTGTGATAAAGCGGTATATAAGAACTTTGAATTATTATTATTATTATTATTACTGAAATATATCATGCAACATTCTGTCAATAACCAGCATTACTGATATCATTTTCAGTGTTACATCAAATGGAAAAGTTAACGCCACATTAACTGCATCTTTGTTTTATTATTTTTGTCCTTAGATACCCTAGTGTTAATTTTGCCCTTCACATTTAATTACTATGTTTATGCTGTTTACTTATATTCCCTGTAATGATAAATTCACCCTCATTATGGAGGGCAAAAAAGGCTAAAAATAAACAGCAGCAAAAATTTCACAGTATATACCAGATCAAAGATGTTGGGGCGTGCCTGGTTGCCTATGTGTAGGAGATCTCTGAAGCCTTTGGTGATGGCCAGAGCCATAGGTTCCCCCTTCCTCTCCAGTAAGGCATTGGTGGCCACTGTTGTCCCCATCCTAATCCAGTCAATCTGGGCAGAGTCCAGCGGCTCATCTGGGGGGAGGATATGCCCCCCTACCTGTAAATCGCAATTTAACTTCACATGAAATTTATTGGTTATTTCATACCCGATTGCAAGTTTTAGCAAATTTACTTAACTTGCACTTTAGAGTCGACGAGAAAAATGCTTAAATAATTACTGGTCTGTTTAACACAAATACAACGTATACTATTGGGATTGCACTTTAAGTGCCAGTAAACTTATATACATGTAAGTAGCTATGTTATATGGCAAGCCAAGTTGTCATTTATTCATGGAGCAATGTTGATCCAGTACTTGATCAAATTATATAAGATATCTTATATAATAATATAATAAATCAGATACATATCTTATATACTAAATAAGATATCTTATATATCATATAAATTATATAAGATATCTTATATATTATATAAATTATATAAGATATCTTATAAACATATAAGATATCTTATAAATATATAAGATATCTTTTAAACATATAAGATATCTCATAAACATATAAGATATCTTATAAACATATAAGATATCTTATTTAAAGTTTATGAGATAGCTTTTATCTTTTATAAGATATCTTATATATTTTATAAGATATCTTATATACTTTATAAGATATCTTATAAACTTATAAGATATCTCATAAACTTTTCTTTATAAGATATCTTATTTATATTATAAGATATCTTATATCTTTTAACGGATGTGACCTTACAACATCACTCATTTTCAAACATTTCTTCTTTGTCCGTCTCGCAAGAGTCTCGTTCTCTTTAAGATATCGCAATTAATTATCTTTATATAAGATATATTATATATTATATAAGATATCTCATAAAGAAATTAAGATACCTTATATCTTTTATGAGATATCTTATATAATATAAGATATTTTATAAAGAAAAGAATATGAGATATCTTATATTATTTGGTTAAGTACTGGATCAACATTGCTCCATGAATAAATGACAACTTGGCTTGCCATAATGTTACAGTGTTTGGCAGCGACAGAGAGGATGGTATTACACAACAAGTAACCCGAGTATCATGATCATGTCTGAGGTTTATATGAGAACAAAATTTAGTCAAGTCATCACTTGTTTGTCTAATTAACTACATTAAATCCGAGATCATCACAATAAACACTGCATAATACGTCTTGCCTGATACATTAATATAACAAAACCGATTAAATGTTTAATCAATTAGTAAGGTTTCTTGTCAACATAATCAGTAACTTTCAAATCCCTTCCTGCTAGAATTTAAGTCTCCTAATCTGATTAGAACAGGGCTGCAGATTGAAAAATGTATGTGAGCTTCAATATCAATAACATTAATGTTGTACAGGTACTAACTATCTATTTCTACATGAAAAGGGTTTGCAACAGGTGCCTTAATTGTGGTACTGATGTTTCAACACCTGAATATTTTGGAACAAAGATTTTTCAGTAATTTGGAAAGAAGTTTCAACACTTGTTTAAAGATATTAACATTATATACCATTTAACTAGAATTGTCAAAACCAGGCAAACTGTGGTAACCGGTTACTCGAACAATCTTTAGATAGAGTAATTACCGGTTAATTGGTCAATTTGGTAAATAAAAATAATAAAGAAAGACAATACGTTATATGTTTAGCAAATGTTCTAGTTAAAACGTATTTACACCACATACATACATTATATATAAATTAGCATGATACTTTACTCGCGTATTTCAAGCTTAATGCAGGAAATAGTTACATGTACCCTCAGTAAGTATACAAATGTATTTCATGGACAACAAATATCGGAATACAGTAAGGCGGGATTCAAGTTAAGTTATCTGTACTCGAAATAATATTGTTCTTTACTACTTCAGAACAAAATTTAATCGTCCAACGTTTTAAAACATGCTTGCTCATTCAAGTATGTACTCTACAGATTATCTTAACATCTCACATGTAAAAACGAGTTCTACCTCTAAAATTAGATATTTAACAACTTTGTATTCTGGATTTCTTTTAAACTTTGTTCAGTTTTTTTTATGGTGCTGGCGGTATCTCTTTGTCAATCTTTATATATAATAGAGTACAAAAACTTTACTAACATGCATGAATATGTCGGTCCGAACACTGTATTTTTCAAACAAGAATTCCACAGAAGTGGATGTGTCACCTGCGCAGGACTTGCTTAGCACTGCATGAAGTTTGAGTAAGATCGGCCCAAGGAAACTTAAGTTATCGCACAAAAACAGATTTTCTTTTTATAGTAACAGTGACCTTGATCGTTGACCTTCGGACCTGAAAAGCAATCCCAAGAAAGCACTTTTAGTAAGGAAGCACTGCATGAAGTTTGAGTTTGATCGGCCCAAGGAAACTCAAGTTATCGCACGAAAACAAATTTTCTATTTATAGTAACCAGTGACCTTGACCTTTAACCTTTGGACCTGAAAAGCAATAGAACTGCATGAAGTTTGAGTTTGATCGGCCCAAGAAAACTCAAGTTATCGCACGAAAACAGATTTTCTATTTATAGTAACAGTGACCTTGACCTTTGACCTTCGGACCTGAAAATCAATCCCAAGCAAGCACTTTTGGTAAGGAAGCACTGCATGAAGTTTGAGTTTGATCGGCCCAAGGAAACTCAAGTTATCGCACAAAAACAGATTTTCTATTTATAGTAACAGTGACCTTGACCTTTGACCTTCGGACCTGAAAAGCAATCCCAAGCAAGCACTTTTGGTAAGGAAGCACTGCATGAAGTTTGAGTTTGATCGGCCCAAGGAAACTCAAGTAATCGCACGAAAACCTCTGTGCGGACGACGCCGACATAGCAATACCTATATGTGTCACCAGCTTTTCGCAGGCGACACAAAAACTATCCGATTTTGGTCACATCTAGATCTATATATAGATAATTTGTAGGTCTAAGCCAGGGAAACATGGGGCTCCCCGTAGGGGTAAATAAATGTCAGACTATTCGTGACTACTAATAGACTAGATGTTCACCTCTGTGACATAATAATAAATATTCCACATCTATGAAATATTTTTCTTTAGTCTTCTAACATCAGCCATACCTGTGAAGGCAAGATCAAGACATTAACATATTTCCCATGGCCTGACATGGGTGCCAATGTCACCAAGGTCATATTTTCCATGTGCCTCAATTAGGGGTTCAGTGGCAGACCCAGGGGTGTTGCCCTAGTTGCCCGGGCAACACCCTTTTCTGTGTCCAAAAATAATCTGGACTTAGGTTTTTCAAGATTTTCCTCTTATTCATATGGGATTTTCTTCTAACATCAACCAACCCGTGAACTATGACTTTCTATGGCAAGCAGCAGTTTGAATATCTATATATGCCTCAGGGTGCAGTTGCCCAAACAAGGAGTCCACTACTTATACTATAAACGGTTAATCCTCTTTTGTTTATATATTAGTAGGGTCTCCAGTCAGGTCAGTGGTGAAGGCTCAACGGACTGTCTACCTAATCGTATTGTTCTAATGTCACGGTGTGGTGATCACCCTGACTGTTGAGAGGGGATAAAACCATCTGTTGGAATTAGGTATATATGTTAATTGTTATTTCAAAGGTAGAGTCCATTTCATGATAGATAAACCTGTATTTTCACCTGTGGTTTCATGTACACATGATCACCAGGAGTGATTTAATATTATACCTGTTAAAAAATGTAAATTTCGAAAAGTTCAAAGACAATAAAGCATCCACCTTAGCATCACGTTATCAGGTGAATAATAACCAGTGTTAGCATAAAAGCCTGGCATGTATATATATATATCCTTTTTAACAGGTGTTGCTCTTATACATATGCATGCATACAAATTCACAATAAAAGACAATCAGTCAAATCATAATTCATATTCATGACAAAATACATTAATATTTAATTGCAAAAATGCTCGCCTAAACTACATGCACATGAAAAGCATGACACAAACATCAACATTTTAACCAAAAACCTACATTTTTACCATTGTTTCAGAGAATTTGATAACACTCGCTCCACTCGGCCATCATAAAATATAAATACTCTATGTTATAAAATATAACCTGGAATAATACTGCAAACTCAGAAAACTATTCTATGCCTTATGAGATCTGTTTGACAATGGAAATAATGTCCGATAAATACTAGCTTTCTACGCTTGGCAGTGCTTGAACAAGTTTATTATTACATCTTCAGAAAAAAAATTGCCTCGCTCTGCTCGGCAGGGAATTTATAATTGTCACAATCTCAGAAATAATGAAGTTCTATATATTGTTTGGTGCCAGGAAGTAGTATACATGTACAACCGACATGACAATTATAATTTAGTTTAAAATTTTAGGTAACACCCAAAATGAATTCCTGGGGTTGTACCTATGACTAAATACAATTATTGAGATGAATAAAATTCCCACTGTCCCTGTCAGTAACATGTCACTAGATGTTCACAAATCTGACATTGTCTGTATACATATGTAGATTTTGACTTTTCATCGCTCTGGAAATAAACTCTGTTATTTTGCATATACACAATACATCTCCAGCACAGACATGCATACACACATACAAATATTAGTCAGGTGGCATAGGACTAGTAGTTAGCGCCTGATAAGGCAGCTCCTGCGAATTCTTCAATATTGTATATTGATTAATATATATGCTAATCATATTTACTGTATCAAATTGTATATATATGTACTGTAAAGCGCTTTAGAGTGGCTTATGTTAGCTAGATAGGGCACTATATCAAATGTTGTATATTTATATATTTATATGTATGCATGTGTTATTTTTTTTTTAATTATTTTTTGACATTTTCCATTTTTCTCAAAGTTGGTGATAAAGCTACAGTATAGAGTAAGGGTATCTGATTTTGTACACTTTTTACACAGATTTACATAAAAAAAAATCCAAATATGTCTCCAAGACGATCACGTCCTGTACGTAATCACGTACCCTTATTCTACATGTAAGTTATATTTATCTTTTCCTGTGGTGTAAATTAAAGCTCACCTCCTCCATGATGCGCCGAATGCCCTCCCTGGGGGCATCAGGGTAGTTTTTAGGGTCTACGGATAACAGCTTCATGACTTTTACTTCACCTCCAGGACATCTAGCCCAGATGTCAGTAAAGGTACCACCACGATCAATCGCAAACTGGAACATGTCAGCCATTTCCACCGTGTCACTGTTGTATACAAATAAATTAATAATCAAATCAATAAGTCATCTAAATTCACTACAATTTCTCTCTTTTTAAAATAACAAATACATTGAAAATGTTGACAATTAAAGTATTTTTGCAAGAAAGAAAACTGTTTCCTGGATCAATCTAGACTTGACACTTACTACAGTGTTTTATCTACCTGAGAATCATGAGTCGAATACTCAGTTTTTCAATTTGACTCCTTGAATTTGTTAAAATTGATTAATTTTACATAGGATGACTCAATGATTTTCAGAACTTCATTATGATCGAGAAATGACCCACTTTATGAAAAAGGTAGATAAAACACTGCTACTTTACCGTTTATGGGTAGTTTCCCCTACAGAAAAAATAATAATTATCCGTTCTTTGAAATTCGGGCCCCTTATTTTTACGATGCTTAAAAGTTCCACTATTTCAACAAGAAAATATCGGGTATTATATTAGGTAAAAAAATTAAATCACAACCAAAAGGATTAATGTCAGAGTTAAGTTGACGAGATGTTCGTCGCACAGACCAAATTTTTATGATGTGCTACGTTACAAGATATGTTTTGATTTATAAAATAACTTTTCTCTTCTTATACCTCTTCTTGTCAAACATCACATCTTATGTATTATGACGTCATATGGCATTTTCGTCACAGGGTGGCTAATTTGGGTGCATGGAGATTTTGCCTGCACTAACGTTAGATTGGTCCATGTGTGTGTTCCTAATCATACTTTTTCTAGACCACCGTCCAGATTAATGACCCGTCCGAGTTTTTCACCCCACAGTTAGGCTATATTGTTACATATTTTTTTTATCGTAGATATAACGTTACATGTCATGTCACTCAGCTCACTCACAACAAAACAAATGGTATAATCACCTGTTGGATTATAAGGCAAGGAACCGATATCTTCTGCAAAATGTCCACCTAATCCTAAAATTCCAGGCCGAAGGAACCTACAGCTGTTACGTACCCCAATATGACGAGAACTCGAGTAAGATTTTTGCCAGTTACTTCCCTTTGTGTACTCTCTGTATGGAAAACGAAAGTAGATATTTACAGACGGTACCGACCTACATTCTGCATGGTGTCTCTAAACATGTCGAGGAGGATTACAAAGTTTCTCGGGACCTGTACTTACAGGCGCTTCATTGTTATAAAGAATCACGTGAATGTTGTCCCGGAGATAAAGACTAGCATCCAGACTAGAAGACAACTTGCCACAGGAAATGTCGATCCAGGGTAACACTTTGATAGAATGAGGCTATAAGCTTATACATATCTTAACAGTTCTAGGTCTACCATATAGTGACCACCTTCAACTGATTGAAGATTTTGTCACGAAGTTGGGTTTATGCAGGACAAATGACAGTCTATATAATTTATTCACTTAGTTAAAGTTAAGAGAAGGAACATCTAAGGACCTGTTCGTTTATGCGGAACAACTGGTTTGACCGTCTTTAAATTTAACATTTTCGGGTATAATTCCTGGCGGACCTGCAAATGATTGTGCAGGCCTTGCAACGCTTTGTCAAGGCTCGCCTGAAAGCAGCATCAGATTTTTAGGTTCGACCTTATTTAATAAACGAACAACTGTGGTCCAACCGGTTCAACCGTTTAAACGAAAACGGCCTAGGTTTGAGGAGAATCCGAAAGAGAGGTCCGAGCAAGCCTGTTCGGAAAAGGCGGAAATGAATAGAAATGGTAAATTATTATGTAAAGTCTGTTGAGGTAACTAATTACTCAGCATCTTCAATTTTATAGGTGTGTCTGGAAAGAAGAGAATATTGTTTTGAAAGAGTTGAAAGTGGGTGCATAATAAAGATGTCAGATGGTAATTTGTTCAAGTCTAGTATGGTACGAGGAAAAAAAAATGTTTGTCTAGTTCGTGTTTTTGAGTATTGCTGTTGGTATTGGACCTGTAGGGAATTTCTAGGAATTCTTCTGGCTAGGTGCATATGACCTGTCATCGTGGATATGGCCACCGTGCCCTGATATCTATCACCCTAACACTGACCTCTATTCCATCACCCTTGTGACTGGCCTCTATCACATCACCCTTGTGACTGGCCTCTATCACATCACCCTTGTGACTGGCCTCTATCACATCACCCTTGTGACTAGCCTCTAGCTATCCCATCACTCTTGTGACTGGCCTCTATCACATCACCCTTTTGACTGGCCTCTAGCTATCCCATCACGCTTGTGACTGGCCTCTTATCACATCACCCTTTTGACTTGGGTCTCTATCACATCACCCTTATGACTGGCCTCTTTCACATCACCCTTGTGACTGGCCTCTATCGCATCACCCTTGTGACTGGCCTCTATCACATTACCCTTGTGACTGGCCTCTATCACATCACCCTTGTGACTGGCCTCTATCTCATCACTGTTATGACCAGCCTCTATCACATCACCCTTGTGACTAGCATCTATCACATTACCCCCTGTGACTGGCATCTACCACATCACCCTTGTGACTGGCCTCTATCACATCACCCTTGTGACTAGCCTCTATCTATCCCATCACTCTTGTGACTGGCCTCTATCACATCACCCTTTTGACTGGCCTCTAGCTATCCCATCACGCTTGTGACTGGCCTCTTATCACATCACCCTTTTGACTTGGGTCTCTATCACATCACCCTTATGACTGGCCTCTTTCACATCACCCTTGTGACTGGCCTCTATCGCATCACCCTTGTGACTGGCCTCTATCACATTACCCTTGTGACTGGCCTCTATCACATCACCCTTGTGACTGGCCTCTATCTCATCACTGTTATGACCAGCCTCTATCACATCACCCTTGTGACTAGCATCTATCACATTACCCCCTGTGACTGGCATCTACCACATCACCCTTGTGACTGGCCTCTACCACATCACCCTTGTGACTAGCATCTAACACATCACCCTTGTGACTGGCCTCTATCACATCACCCTTGTGACTGGCCTTTATCACATCGTCCCTGTGCCGCACTCCATCACATCATCCTTGTGACTGGCCTCTATCACATCACTCTTGTGACTGGCCTCTATCACATCACTCTTGTGACTGGCCTCTGTCATATCACCCATGTGACTGGCCTCTATCACATCACCCTTGTGACTGGCCTCTATCACATCACCCTTGTGACTGGCCTCTAGCTATCCCATCACGCTTGTGACAGGCCTCTATCACATCACCCTTTCGACTCAGGTCTCTATCACATCACCCTTATGACTGGCCTCTATCACATCACCCTTGTGACTGGCCTCTAGCTATCCCATCACGCTGACTGGCCTCTATCACATCACCCTTTTGACTCAGGTCTCTATCACATCACATTTATGACTGGCCTCTATCACATCACCCTTGTGACTGGCCTCTATCGCATCACCCTTGTGACTGGCCTCTATCACATTACCCTTGTGACCGGCCTCTATCACATCGCCCTTGTGACTGGCCTCTATCTCATCACTGTTATGACCAGCCTCTATCACATCACCCTTGTGACTAGCATCTATCACATTACCCCCTGTGACTGGCATCTACCACATCACCCTTGTGACTGGCCTCTATCACATCACCCTTGTGAATAGCATCTAACACATCACCCTTGTGACTGGCCTCTATCACATCACCCTTGTGACTGGCCTCTATCACATCGTCCCTGTGCCGCACTCTATCACATCATCCTTGTGACTGGCCTCTATCACATCACTCTTGTGACTGGCCTCTATCACATCACCCTTGTGACTGGCCTCTGTCATATCACCATTGTGACTGGCCTCTATCACATCACCCTTGTGACTGGCCTCTATCACATCACCCTTGTGATAGGTCTGTTGGTCATAATTCATATCCAATTTTTTAACTTAAAATATTGTAGCTTCCTTAGTGGTCAGTAATGATCAAAAACTTCTTTTTTTTAATCTCATACATGTACCTTTTTTTCCTTTCAGATTTTTTGCCAAGATGCAACAAGCAAGGACTAAACTTGCAGATGCTGACAAACAAAGGTAAGATATATATACAGCCAATGTGAACACTAGACAGGCCACAGTCCATATGTTTCCAAATCACTGTCACTAGGCTAGCTACAGTCTCTACATTTTTTAGCTCTTGTCCAAAGACTGGCCACAATCCATATGTTTCCAAATCAATGTCACTAGACTAGCTACAGTCCCTACATTTTTAGCTCGTGTCCGAAGACTGCCTACAGTCCTTATATTTTTCTAGCTTTCTCTTCATTCTTATTTCCCCTTATATAAATAACTTTGGTCAATTGATTTGGTAATTTGCAGGATTGTTTTTTAGTAGGCTTAAAAAATAATTTTGGAATGTTAAAAATATTTTGTAGTTTAAGTTTTACAGTTAATTTGAAATCATTTTGTACATTTGTCTGTTCAACTTTTATAAATAACTATATTGTTTCTTTGATGATTTCTACATACTGAAAAATTGTATCAAATGTAACACTATTTCTCATATTCATTCTGATGTCTTGGTTTGTTTGTGCTTTACATCCTATGAACATTTATGGTAATTTAAGGACAAGCCAGGTTTTGGTGTGGAGCAGAGCCTAAGTATATGGAGAAAACCACTGAACTGCAGCTAATGACTGGCACCTGCTCCACGTAGGCCTCAAACCTGTGACCCATTGGTGGAGGGCTACTGATCATAGATGGTCAGACTCCTTAACCACTCTGCCACTATGGCCCCTTTCAGTTTAATGGACTTAAACCACCATAAAATTCTTCCCAATTATGTCATCATATGTCAGTTCTTTATGTACCACTTTCAGTGCAATTGTGTCTCATAAGGAAAAGGTCAATGGTATGGATATTCATTTTGAGACGACAGGTGACGGTCAGGAGATTCTCCTGCTCCTTCCAGGAGCACTTGGTAAGTAGTATGAACTGTACATGTTAAACATCAAATATCACAGGTCTGTGACTCTATATACAGGTACATTGTAGGTACTGGAACACTTTTTATCTGTAGCGTTTGTCAATATATACCAGTACTAATGTTAAATACTTTAAAAAATACTCAAATGCATTGATACATACTTCACAAAATTTACATCTATATTAACAACAGGATTATTCTTTATACAGTGGTTCTGAAACTGGCTCAAATTGTGGAAATGTGGGATAAAATTCAACTATAAAAAAAAAATTGTATTGAATATTTGACTTCTTGTACTTACAGGTATACATTTGTTTGGTAATATACTGAAATCTTACAATGCTGAATCTTTCAGGATCAACCAGAACCGATTTTGAGAAGCAGTTGACAGGGTTTAATAAGTCTGACTACACCTTGGTGGCGATGGATCCCCAAGGCTACGGGCGGAGCATCCCTCCGGAGAGGACATGGCCTCTAGAGTACTTACAGAGGGATGCTGATGATGCCCTCCAACTTTGTAAGGTAATGAATGACATATTCTTATAGGGTGAACATCAAATATTTACATTTCCATGGCAAGTTCCTCTATAAGCATTATCATAAGAAATTGTGTTCATAGGGCTATGAATGCAATTGGATCAGTGTCATTTGGAAGTTTCTCCACCCGCCTTGATTAACATGAGAAAGCCGTTAGAAGCAAACATTTTGGTGAGGTTTGATAATAACCAATGTTAATAACAACTAAAAATTTCAAATGTAAATATAAGGATTGAACAGCATTTTTAGGTCACCTGAGCTTTAGCTCAAGTGACCTATTACTATCCGTCTTCGTCCGTCCTCGTCCGTCCTCGTCCGTCCTCGTCCGTCCGTCGTCCGTCGTCCGTTAACATTTTAAATTTTCAACTTAAGCTGAAATTCTGGTAAAGGGATATTATTAATATTTCATGGGAAGGTTTCTGACATCTCCCTGACCAAGTGTTGTTATTTTTCGGGTCGATCAGAAATCCAATATGGCCGCCACGGACGCCATTTTGAAAAACTATTTCAAACTTAAAGTCAAGTTCTGCTTGGTCGATTGAACTGAAGCTTTGTAGGAATGATCGACTCATGGTCCTGATTAAACGTTATTATTTTTTGGCAATTCAATCCTTGTGTAAAAACAAACTTGTTTAGCAGTTAATAAGTACCTTATTTCATCCTTCTCGTCACTAGTGGTAAATAAAACTGTTACAATATCCTTCCAGTTCACATTATCTTTCGAGGCTTATATTTCCTTCCAGTACTTACCAGGTCTACCATCACAGTTCAGCCTGTCTCATTGTTAACAGGAGTTTTCACAATTTCGTCTCAGCTTTGTAAAAGGACCAGCTGGTTGGAAACATAACTACAAGTTGAATACAATATGTTTGTGTCAATATGATTTTTCATGCAAGCTTGTGCAATTATGGGTATCCATCTGGCATCTAATTTTTCCTTAATGAATAACCGCTACAGAACCATGAGCTTTGAAAGTCCTACTGTAGTATTATACCCATAGCTTTTTGGGATAGACAGCTATTGAAACTGTGTCCAAATGACTGACCTTGATCCACGTTTAAGGTCAAAGGACAGGGGTCAGTTTTATATCAACAGCTGTCAAGATAGTTCAGAAGAACGACATTGTGCATGTAAATGAGACAAAATCTCACATATTTTATCAGCTCACCTGGTCCGAAGGACCAAGGTGAGATTATGCCATACCGTGGCGTCTGTCGTCCGTCCGTCAACAATTTCTTTAAACGACTTCTTCTTCTTAACCACTGATTGGAATTTAACTAAATTTGACTGGAAGCATCCCTAGGTGGTGGTGATTTAAAATTGTACAAATGGTCAGGCTGACCCCCCAGGGGGCTGAGGGTGGGGCATAAAGGGGGCAATTTGGCTATATTGCTTTAAGCGACTTCTCCTCTGGAACTAAGAGATGGATATCAACCATATTTGACTGAAAGCATCCCAAGGTGGTCGGGATTCAAAATTGTACAAATGGTGGGGCTGACCCACCAGGGGGCTGAGGGCGGAGCCAAAAGGGGGGCAATTAGGCTATATTGCTATAAACGACTTCTTCTGTAGCCATGGATATCGATCATATTTGGTCGGAAGCATTCATTGGAGGCAGGGATTCAAAATTGTACAAATTGTGGGGCTGACCCCCCAGGCGAAGGTGTGGGGCCAAAAAAAGTTTATTACTTGGAAATGGTTGAGATCCCCACCATATAACTATATATACAATTGCTGAGTTTAAAGAGAAGAATGCACATTTGCTTCCAGGATGGCCCTAGGGTCTGGCCCCACCCTTGGAGACATAGTCCCTAGGCCATAACTTTTAAACGGTTGAGAGTCCCACCCCAAAATTATATATGCAAATACTGGGCATAAAGAGACGAATGCAGTCATTATATTAGAATAGGCCCTGGGGTCTGACCGAACCCCTAGGGACCTAGTTTCTTAGTCACAGCTTGGAAACAGTTGAGATCCCCACCCCATAACCATACATAAAATTGCTGGTCATGAAAAATCTTATACAGATATGCTACAAGGATTGGCTTTGGGGTCTGGCATATTCCCTTGGATCTAATTTATGAGAATGTTTTGCCATGATTGCTTAGAAATCCAGGTGAGCGATACAGGCCCTCTGGGCCTCTTGTTTGAGTTCCAAGTCTTTGTTACTATATGTTTCCTTGGATGATTTTGTTTGACATGCAATAGTTGTCCAACTATTTCTCGTGACTCATTAATTATTTTTAAAATATCTTTATTTGACTTTAAGGTCGATACAGGTGTGGGGAAAAAATAAAGTACATGTATATATACTGATAATATTTTGAAATATGAAGTTTGTTTGATCACTTCAGACACTGGGTCTGCGTAAGATCTCCGTACTGGGATGGAGTGATGGCGGTAACACTGGGATGATCTTGGCAGCCAAAGAACCCGCGCTAGTCAGCAAGCTGGTGGTCTGGGGCGCCAATGCTTATTTCACCGAACAGGACATTAATGCATTTGAAAGTAAGTTAGCAAACTATGCTTATTGTTCTAATCATGAGGTACTTGTTATCATAATCATAACTTCATTTTTAAAAATTAAGTCTTTATTTTCTGTGTATACTGTAACATATTATGTCCAATAATTTCCCCAACACCAGCAAAGAACAAAGTATGTTTCAAGTTAGTTTTGTATACCCCCCACAACAAAGTTAGGGGGGGGGGGTATACTGGAATAACCCTGTCTGTCTGGATGTCTGTCCTGATGTCTGTCTGGATGTCTGTCCTGATGTCTGTCTGGATGTCTGTCCTGATGTCTGTCTGGATGTCTGTCCTGATGTCTGTCTGGATGTCTGTCCTGATGTCTGTCTGGATGTCTGTCCTGATGTCTGTCTGGATGTCTGTCCTGATGTCTGTCTGGATGTCTGTCCTGATGTCTGTCTGGATGTCTGTCCTGATGTCTGTCTGGATGTCTGTCCTGATGTCTGTCTGGATGTCTGTCCTGATGTCTGTCTGGATGTAGTCCACAGTTACTTGTCCGGAAAACTTCATCTTAACTTCTGTAAAAGCATAATATTTTCATGGTTTTTAAATATAATCCCAACAAAATTTTAAACACACAAAATATCAAATAAACTTTTAATTTTTATTATAAATCCATAGTGTATTTATATTTAGACACAATTCTTGATTTAAGCATGAGTCTACAAAGTATACATTATGTGCATATCGCTCCTTGTGTGTAAGCTAGATGTACATGTATAGGGCGTGACGGATTTGACCGATACCCATCGAGTGAGTAAATCTCGCCCTATCTTACCTGTACTATATTTACCTGCACTGTGTCGTCACGCCTATCAATTTAAACTTCTCACTTACCAGAAAAAATACAGGGTTTGAAAATATTGATTCCACGAAATATAATACCAACAAATTTGTCCCCATACAAACATAACGAAATTTAACCCAAACGAAAGTATATGCTTTTTACAGTAACAGAAAGATTGTATTGACACTTCACTTGAATGATCAGTATATTTTGAAGTTGTGCACCGGCATTTTAATTTCTTTTTACACATTTCAAGGTCACCTGAGCTTTAGCTCAAGTAACCTATTGCTATCCATCTTCGTCCATCGTCGTGCGTGGTCCGTCGTGCATCATACAAGGTCCATTAACATTTTACATTTTCAACTAAAGCTATAATCCTGGCCAAGGGATCTCATTGATACTTCATGGGAATGTTACCGACATCTCCCTGACAAAGTGTTGTTAATTTTCGGGTCGATCAGAAATCAAATATGGCCATCACGGCCGCCATTTTGAAAAACTATTTCAAACTTAAATGAAAGTTCTACTTGGCCAATTTAACTGAAACTTGGTAGGAATGATCGACTCATGGTCTGGACAAAGTGTTGTTAATTTTCGGGTCGATCAGAAATCCAATATGGCCACCATGGCCATCATTATGAAAAATTATTTCAAACCTAAAGTCAAGTTCTACTAGGCCGATTTAACTGAAACTTGGTAGGGATGATTAACTCATGGTTCTGAAAAGTGTTGTTATTTTTTGAGTAGATCAGAAATCCAATTTGGCTGCCAGGGCCATTATTTTGAAAATAACTATTTCAAACTTAATATCAAGTTCTAATACATGTAGGCTGATTTAAATGAAACTCTGTCTAGGAATGATCAGCTCATGGTCCTGACAAACTTAAGTTAACGTTATACTTAACTATTTTGTACTCAAATTGGTACATATTTCAACAACAAAAATAAATACTGTAGGACTCAGGTGACCGTTAAGGCCTGTTGGCCTCTTGTTTATTGTACAACATTTGAAGGCAATGACACCAAGTGATTTACTTTAGATTACATAAGTAACATGTCTTTCTGTAGAGATCCGGGATATTTCATCATGGAGTGACCGTATGAGGGAGCCGTTTGTGAAGGTATACGGAGAAGAGTATTTTCAGAAACACTGGAGCAAGTGGGTGGACGCTTGTCAAGCTTACTACAACGACCGGGAAGGTAAAACGACAGGGAATGTATTCCCAGTACATTTGACCCAACACCCTTATTTTTTCTTTAAATCCAATCTAATGATTTTTTTTTATGAAGTAACATTTTACTAAATTCCTTATCACGATTAGTTACAGTGAAGCCTGTCTTTACAGACATCACGAGGGGCTGTATCATCTGGTCTGATAAGTCAGTGTCTAGGTAAAGTCTACAGTAAAAACAGAGAAGATGCTCTTTTGGGAACAGTAAATTTCTTGTCTAGCTTTTGTAAAGTGAAGTTTTTCTGCATAGTGTATAATGTGTTTTCATAAGTCAAATCTAAACACCTAAACAACTGAAGGAAAAGTCTGGGTTCCAGCCAGATCTCCATCGTTGGTGATTTACGATTTAGTGACTGATCAACAAGCTTGGATTCAAACTGGTTCAAACTGTATTCTCTTTAAAATAGTTCCTAGTGCCTATTTGTAAAATTACTTTAACAGAAAGCCATATCACAACCTTTGTCACAAACCCATTGTCACACTCTTTTTGAAGAGTAAGATTAGCCCTCTCACCTTGTCACAACCTCCTTGTAACACTCTTTAGACGGACTTTAGCACCCCAACTTTGTCACATTCCCCTTGTAACACTCTTTAGACGGACTCTAGGACCCCGACTTTGTCACATTCCCCTTGTAACACTCTTTAGACGGACTCTAGCACCCCAACTTTGTCACATTCCCCTTGTAACACTCTTTAGACAGACTCTAGCACCCCAACTTTGTCACATTCCCCTTGTAACACTTTTTTCGAAGACTTAGTCCTCTCACCTTATCAGACTTAACCTCCTGACCTTGTCAGACTTAACCTCCTGACCTTATCAAAACCGGTGGCTATAGTGGCCGAGTGGTTGAAGGTGTTGGAGATCTATGATCATTAGCCCTCCACCACTGGGTTGCAGGTTCAAGGCCTACGTGAAGCAATCACCAGGTACTGGCCGCAAATTCCTCTACCAACTAAACCTAGAATGCCCTTAAATGACCATAATTGTTACGGTAATTGGATGAAAAACAAAACTAAAGCAAACTTATCAAAACCCATTTTAAACTCTTTCTAAGGACTAAACCCCTTCTGCTTGTCACAGCCACTTTGTGATACTCTCTCTTAAGATTAAGCCTCTGATAATCTTGTTTAAATCCCCAATTTCCCTGTGGTGCTGAGGCTCTTTCTGAGGAAGGACTAGGCCTCTGTCGTTTCGGTGGTTGAGTATAGCAACTCCCAAAACAATTAATTATTTTTCAACCGGTGATTTGTTTACTTTATATTTTTGTATGATTAGTAGATCAATATGTTGGGTAATTGTCCAATTCAATAATATCATCTCTTAAATCTGGATATCACTCTTCATTTTTTGTTTGGCTCAGGTAATATTTTTATGGACGACCTGAAGAATATTACAGCGAAGACTCTGATTATCCACGGCGTGAAGGATGCCCTGGTAGAACAGGAACATCCTGACTACCTACATGCTAACATCAAGTGCTCCGAGTAAGTGTTCACCTACATGCTAACATCAAGGGCTCAGAGTAAGTGTTTACCTACATGCTAACATCAAGGGCTCAGAGTAAGTGTTCAGTATATGTTAGGTTATACATTGACTGATTTGTAAATACTATATCCTAATACCGGTGTCCTATAAAATATTCATTACCATAAGATACCTATCCGGATGAGTATTATATGGGGGATGAACATTTTATTTGACACTGGTGTAGGTCGTCATTGAACTGTATCAGAGACATGACTGTTTGCCATGATTGTTAACCGCTTGGATTGTACAAACTCTCTAGTCTAGCAGCTATAATTTTGTGTAATTTGAACAGAAACAACATCTGTTTTTAATTTCGTTTAATTATGACTGGAGGTTTACCATTTTATTAGGTACCTATAGGAAATATTGTGTATTATGTATAATAACTCAATTAAATTCAAGACTATTGATGGGATCATATTGTAAAATATAGTAAAATGTTTGGTACTTTAGCTGTTATTTCTGTATCAGTTAATATTTATCTGCTTTACTTACCAGGTTATTTCTAATGCCGGAGGGGAAACACAACCTGCACATCCGCTACTCAAAAGAATTCAACTCCCTCGTCGAGGAGTTTTTGAAGAAATAAAGTCACTGGGTCATATTCCCTAAAGTGTCTTGCATTTTTTTATATCGCATATCATGATTAATTGTCTTCCTGGAGAATTTTTGTCTCCTCAAATAAATATATTTGGAATACATTTGTGAAAGGTTGTACCTGCATACAGAACATAGTCTCTATTTTTGCAATATGTAATTATGTGTATCGTAAAACTAGTTATCAAAGACACAAACAACGCAAACACCAAATTAGCTACTATAATATTTTTATTTTTTAAGGTTTGGCGATTATATGGCCACGGCTTCATACAGATGTGGTTACCGACTCTAAATTAGAGTCATAGGGCAAACCAAACTTAGATAACTGCAGATCAACTTGATCAAACTTGTGCAAAATTGCAAAACTTGGGACAATTGAAATAAGGACAAATAAAGTGAACACTGGGAACAGATGTACACCCCATTTTCCCCACTTTACCAATTACTTATTTGACAATAGTTGGTCCCATTAGAAATATTTGTAATTTAAGTGAACACTGGGAACAGCTGTACACTTCAAATTAATTATGCTATTAAATTGCAAATACAATTTGTGAACTTCACAAACTTATTTAAAGTGAAACTGTTCATTGAATGACAACTGGTCAATATGGTAAAAAATTTCACTGAAGCGGTACTGGTGTTGCCTCAAAAGACCGCCACATGGCAATGCCTGCAGTCACACAAAAAGGTAGCAGGCATAGCCAACGCCACCATACCGCAAAATTCAAATTAAACATCAGACACCCGCTACTACTGTGAGGACAAGCAACTCAGTAGTAAGACTGGGCACCTCATGCCGCCACAGCCAAATAATCGTAATCGCAATTCAAACCTGACAACAATTTAGATATCAATACTTTTTGAAAGAATATTGCCAAGATCCTGCTGCAAATGATACAAAAACATTTCATTGCCTAACTCGGACAGATGGACCTTGTCCATAAAAAGATCAGGGCAATCTTCCCGTATCTCAGGGTATCTAATATAACTGCCTCCTATGGCTGTGAAATGACTGGCCACTTTGCTATTGACCCTCACCCTGGCCCTATCAACAGCCACATGAACAATTTCATTTCGCCACTCCAACCGAGGTAAAATTTGTGACCAAACAAATTTTGTCTCTGGCATCAACTTCATCAAACTGTCCATTGTTTTTAATATAGAGTGGCGGAGGTCACAACTCACTAGTTGCCCAAGATCATTCCCACCACAGTGAATCACCATAATGTGGGGGGTGTCCTCGACCGTCAGCAGATGTCTAACGAAAGGCTCCAGTTCTCTCCAACGCAGACCACCTTTCCCTTGCCACCATACACTGGCATGGTAGCGGCTCAGCCCAAGATTTACTCCATCCCCTGACTTCCTTGCATGGAAAAAGGCCCTTTTCACTAATGAGGACCCCACGATCCAAATACGGTTTCTGACATCTGAAAGTCTTAAACTGACAATCAGATGCAAAGCTGACAGGTGATCTCTAGAAAATTTAACTAAAATAAACTGTAGAAATACATTTATACACTTGCCTTGGTAGCTCCAAAATACATTTAAAATATTTTAAATTGATACAATGCTGAGTAATGTTCACCCAGACTACTGCAAGGTACTGTATGAGTCTTACAAGCCTCAGCACAACTCCATGGTTGGGACTCGAATGTATGACTTAAACACCTGTGATTCCCATCTACCCAGTTTTTTTATTTCATCATCAGACATACCAACTGCAGAAGCCCTAGTAGCAGCGCCTATTCTAAAAGAGTGTGATTTATAACGCTCTGTAGATACTCCAGCTGTATTCAGAGATTTTTTTAACATTGCATTAAATTGATATTTTGTTACCGGTAATCCACCAAAATGACAAAAAAATGGACCTGGTTTACTTGGCCTGACTGCCAGGAATTGTTTTACCAACAAAACTGGGCATATTGGGGGCTTGGCTACTGGCAAGCATACTGTCACACCTTTACTTAACTGATCGGTCTTGGAACTAGACAATGACAATTGAACACTTGATGCAGATAACACAACATAATTAATACACAGTGTATGGGAGGTAACTCACAGCTTATCAACTACTAATTCCCCAACTCTGAAAAACCCAAAAAATGCGGCAGAAAAAAGTGTAGAATACAATATTTGTTCATACTTTGAACAACAAAACCACGTGAAGGGCCTGGAGAAGCTTCACCAACAATTCAGGAGTAACAGGCAACCTGACATCTACCCGTTTTGACAACCTTTGCATTCCTGCTAACATTTTTCTGATGATAAAATTTTGTGTATTATACTCTTGGCCTAACAATTTACACTTAAAAGCTATACCCGACAGATAGGATTTTGCTGTGCTGGGAGCATAACTGCCGACAGACAGATATGATATAATCTTGATAATATCTTGCAATGGTGGGGGCCAGGACTTGGCGAGATGATACTGTGAACGGAAAGCCTCGAATACATTTATACTTGCAACATATGCTTTAGTAGTATTCTCAGAAATAGAAGCTGAAATCAATTTCGTAGTTTCAGCTTGGAGATCAACATTTGGAATGCTACTGGGATTGCTGCCGGCTCTGGATCTGCCATTGGTGCTAGTTGCCGGAACCGAGCCCTCTGTAGACGAGATATAGAATCTGCTACACTGTTATGAATACCCCGAATATGAACAGCCTTAAATTGTATATTACCAAACATGGCATGTAACACAAGTGGACGGACTAACTGCATGACCCTTTTTGATTTTGAAGATTTCTTATTAAGAATTGTGACCAGGGCCTGATTATCTATGTTCAAGACGATTTTTTTGTTCTGCAAAAGTGAACCCCATATCATCAGTGACAGAAGGACGGGAACCAGTTCCAGGAAGGTTAAGTCCCTCATAACATCAGTGTTTGCCCAGGACAGCGAAAATTTAGATACAAAAACTTAAAATTTGTTTTGACAAAATATGATTGTGATTACCATGGATTCTGAGATAGCAAGAGGAAGTTATAGGGGAGATAACTCTAACATGCATCTGCTCCGCTAGGCTTAGGTAACAACCAACCAATAAATATAACCTAATTTGTGCTTAGATAAATCAATTTAATTTTTTACATTAAATTTTAATATGTAATTATGTGTATCGTAAAACTAAATATGAAATATTTATACAAATTAGCAAACACAGATATGACAATGATAGAGTCTTACAAGCATGTACATGGCTGTACATGTATGCCTGTACATTAGGTGGCACAGTGGATAACGCTCACCTTTCACCGAGGCGGCTGGCCATGGGGATCTAATTTCCCCGTCATGTATGTGTAAAGGATTGTATTAAGAGTCAGCTGCTCAAACATGTGGGGGTTTTCTTGGTAATCTGGTTTACTCCCACATTAAAACCCCAGGTATGCTACCATCTGCGCTATATTAAAGTGATTAATATAAGTAAATAAAAGTTGTTTCATAATTGTTGTAAAATAAATAATGTTGAATATTAATAGGTATTGTTGTAGTGTCTTGTTCATGTTTTTCTGCAGTCAATTGCGATCTGAAAGCAGTCTACAATTTATTTTTTGCTTGACTTGAAATGATATTTAAAAATTAGAATACATATACATGGGTATAGAAAAATACAAACCTAACAATTGTGTAGTATTTTGTAATAAATAGAACAGCTGTCTGTCACCAAGGCTCAGTAGTATCCATTGTTACGTTGCATTTACCATTGTACGATATGCCGCTACTGGAAGTAAGCCTACTAAGTTCAGAGGACATTCATATCAGCTATGAATGCCATTACCCATTTGCTGATGTTGTCATTTTATGGTGTCATAATGGATACCCTCGAAACCACGTACCCTCCTTAAAGATGGCTTTTCTACAGTAAACAAACATACAGGCTACACAAATCTAATTGAAATTAATGTTGAATTCTAATAAATAGATTTTGATATTTCATGATAGTAATGTTTCCCAAAAATAGTAAATAAAAATATTGAACTGCTTTCTCTTTGAGTTACTAGTCAATGTGAATGCCGACTGGAAATTGAAAATGGAGCATTTCGTTATGTCAAACTGGTGCTGGGGTCACCAATCCGCTGGCACTGGCGTTTATAGTGTGATAATACCATTCCTCTGTCATACAGCTACATGGTTTGATGAAAGCAGTGTTAGTGGCTGATTTTTGTGTTTCTTTGACAAAATGCAATGTTTACGAAACCAGACTTGTGTTGATATTTTCCTGCTCTCAAAGAAGTGTTGTTCGCCTACAAATCATGTTTGTTTATATATAGTCTTCACATCACATTGTCACGTTAAGTTGACAGAGCTTTATGAAGTATGATTTAGTATGTAATCTCCTGTTATTGTCATTAAGATGTTCATACCAGTTAATTACATTTATCTTGGAGTATAATATCAAGTTCTGCTGGGCCGATTGAACTGAAAGTTGGTAGGAATGATCGCCTCATGGTCCTGACAAAGTGTTGTTATTTTTCGGGTCGATCAGAAATCCAATATGGCCGCCACGGCCGCCATTTTGAAAACCTATTTCAAACTTAAAGTCAAGTTCTGCTGGACCGATTGAACTGAAAGTTGGTAGGAATGATCGCCTCATGGTCCTGACAAAGTGTTGTTATTTTTCGGGTCGATCAGAAATCCAATATGGCCGCCACGGCCGCCATTTTGAAAACCTATTTCAAACTTAAAGTCAAGTTCTGCTGGACCGATTGAACTGAAAGTTGGTAGGAATGATCGCCTCATGGTCCTGACAAAGTGTTGTTATTTTTCGGGTCAATCAGAAATACAATTTGGCTGCCATGGCCGCTATTTTGCTACTAAGTTCTAATAGGCCGATCTCACTTAAAATTGGTCTAGGAATGATCAGCTCATGGTCCTGACAAAGTTAAGTTAACATTATACTATTTTTTACTCAAATTGGTACATATTTCAACAACAAAAATAAATACTGTAGACTCAGGTGACCGTTAAGGCCCATGGGCCTCTTGTTATGTTTATTCACTGTTTATTTTT